CTGGGGGCTTCTCTGTGAACAAGACGCGATACCTTACGATCTCCAGGAGAAACGATCAGATTCAAAACGACAGGCCTGCGCGGCGAGAACTGCGCCTCTGTGTCCGTGGCGCTGTCCGCCACAGCGTGCCGGAGAGCAATAGGCACTATGAAGAACTCGTGACGTTTCCTTGAACCCACGCGCGCAACGCGAGGTGAGGGTATGATGACCTTTAAATTGTACTCGCGAGGGAGAAGGGCGGTTTCGACGACCTGGCGCTCCAGGTTGTGGTCCCCTCCAGAGCTGACTGGGGGCCTGTGGGCGAGGACGTGGGGCCCCAGGGCCTCTGCGAGAGCGGTTTTCCTTGCTCAGACCTGCGCTGCCCAGCCAGTAGTTGGAGTGCAGGGCGATGACGCTTAAGTCTTTGAGGCGGATGCAGACGCGCAGTATCCTATGAATCCATGCGACAGAATCTGCTGGTTGCCACGCATCCAAATACCCGCGAACTAGAATAGCAACACCAGACGATATCCCCGAACCCGCGTGATGGCCTTCCGTCCAAAACGAGCGCCAACCATCCTTCACTAAAAACTGCTTCACTTCAATGAAGCGCTCGTGCGTGAGGATCTGCCCCTGAACAAACATGGTGTCAGACTTGCTGGCTCTGATGGGCCTCCTGGCCGGGCCCCAGCCCGAGCCGTTGATCGTGGGGGGCGTGAGACCAGCCTTGAGGACGAAAGCCTTTTCTTGAATGGGAAGTTGGGGCCATGCCGATCTAGTCAACGCTGGGGTGCTGGCTGAGGCGGGCTGCGGCTCCTGTCCTTGCCGTCGCCCTTCGCGCCGCCCTTGCCATCACTGGTGCCCCGCGAGCGACTCGCCTCGGCTGTGGCCTGGGCTGTTGGACCCTGGCCGTTGCCGCTGGCCGCTGGGGCTGCTGCTGGTCTACTGCTGGGTCGGCTGCTCGAACCTCTGGCATGGGCACCGACCTGTGCAGCTTCTGCCTGTGGTTCCGCTGTTGGTGCCGCGCCCGCTGCTGATGCTGCCACTTGCTGTTGCGCCTGCTGGATCGTTGTGGTCAGGGACTCGATCGGGGACTTGAGCATCTTGGCCTCCGACGGGGAGGTCTTAATAGCGAGGCTCCTGAGCTCTGCTAGCAGGCTGCTCTCGGTGCCCGACGGGCCCACTGGGGCCTGAGTGGCTACTGCAGGCTCCTCCGCGGGCGTCCGCAGCGTCATCTCCGCGACGTGCTCCGAAATCTAAGCGTGGCACTCCTTGGTGGCCTCCTTCCCCAAGCAGACGAAGTCCGCCTGCTCGCTGAGCTGCTGGAGCAGGTACTCGATTTTGTCCCTGCGCATGGTGACCGACTTCTCGTGCTTGACCTGAGCCGACTGCGCCTTCAACAACTTCAGGTTAGCTGCTTTCCAGAGCTGCTGAGGTCTCTTGCAGCTGTCGCGTTCCTGGCGGAGTACATCTGGGGCCTCCTCCAGCTTCTGCCTCGCGGGTGATACGCCGCCTGCTCCCTCGGCCTCCTTTTTTGACAAAGCGTTGAGGAGGCTCTGGCACTGGAAGATCTGTTGGCCTAGCTGAGGTCCATGCTGCTGCCATGGTGGGTCAACTTCGGTGAGCCTCAGATGGTTGGTGGCCAACCAGCACCTGCATTTCCATGGCTGATTCTGACTCTGCTCTGACTTCGGAGGGGAGGCAGCCGTTGATGGCGGCGACTGACCTCCACCCATGTCCTTGCCCTTCCCCTTCTTGCTCTTCGCGGCCCCCTTCGTCTGCCAGGCCATGGCGGCGAGGCGGTGCCGAAGCGGGCCCTGGCTGTGGGGAGCAGAAGCGGGAGGGGAAAGTCCGCGTGACTTGTGGGTAGCCCGCCTTGGGCCCCCGTGGCTGCGGACAAGTACGGAGCCGCAGGGCCACTGTTTCGCACTTGAGCCAAAATGGCAACGGACCTCCTCCTCCTCCTCCTCCTCCTCCTCCTCCTTCGTCTCGCTCGCCGCGAGCACACCAACATGTAGCACGAGTGGTGCAAGTATGGGCTGGCGGAATGAGCGAAGCGAGTCAAGGATTGAGGCTGGTCTTCCGAGCCATCCTTGCCCCAGGCCGTGACAGGAACCCTGTGCACGAGTCTGTGACCAGCAGCTCTGCGGCCACCGATGCTGCTGCAGCTCGACGGCGAGCTCCATCAGCCCGGTGGCGAGGCAGGGCGCGGCGCTGGCCCCGCCCTTGGCCCCGTGCTTCGCGCGGCGTGCTTGACTACCTACCAGACCACCCCAACCCAACCCGAAGACTCGAATTTGAATCGAATTTCGGGTTGGGGGGGGGGGTACGGGTTCCATGTGTTTTTTCAATGCTCCCTGACCCCCCCACTGGAAATCGAGGATAAATTTGGGCCTTCGGGTTGGGTTGGGGTGGTTTGGTGGGTGGTGAGTGCTGAACCGCCGCTGCCGTTCCGCGGCTGCGCCCCAGCTCCCCGCGCCTCGCGCCGCGCGCTCGGGGGCGGCTCCCCCAAAGCCCACTGCGTGTGGGCACCGCCCGCCGGCCGACGTCTGCCCTCGGCCCCTTGCGTCGCGCGGCGTGCCCGCCCGCCGCTGCCGCTCCGAGGCTGCGCCTCGGCTCCCGGCCTCGCGCCGCGCGGCGGGGCGGCTGGCGTGTGACTGCCGTCCGTCCGCCCGCCCGCCGCCGCGGGACCCCTGCCGAGGGTGCCCTCGTCAAGGCTGGGGCCAAGATGGCAACGGAGACGGGCGACGTATAGCGAACGTGGGGACGACGAGGGGGGGAGGGAGGGGCGATGGGGAGAGAGAGAGGGTTCGGGTGAGGGGGGGTGCGACAGTGAAGGCGGAGAAGAGCGAGCATGAACTGGGGAAGAGGAGCTGAAGCCAGAGAAGAGGGACAATTGCGTAGGAATGATGCTGATGAGGAGGATGAGGAGGCGGGGGCCGGATCAGATGACGAGGACGAGGAGGAACAAGGGGATACCGATGAGGAGGGAGGAGGGAGGAAAAGCGAGAAGATCGAGATGAGGGGGAGCAGGATCGCGCGGCGAGGAGAGGAGAAAGGGGGGGATGAACAAGACGAGGGGATTGGAGGTGCAGAGTGAGCGCGACGAGTGGATGGAGGGGGAAGATGAGCAGGAGAACGAGGAGGCGGTGGGGCCGCCTGTGCACCAGGAGGGCCCCGCGAGGCAGCACCTTGAGCCGCAACGGCCGCTGGGGACGGGGGGGATCCCGCACGGAGCAGGCCGTGGCAGAGGCCACGACGCGCCCTGAGACCCGACGTGGCGACAGCATTGCAGCATCGCGAAGAATCACAACCGGAGCCCTGGGCCCCATCTCCCTGCGGGTCTTCTTCGGGCCGAGGCGGCGGCCGAAGCGCTTCGAAATCGGCCGCGACCGTTCGCAACCGAACAGCTCCCGGATCCGATGATCTGGAGGGGAGGGGTGTCCTGGGCCACCTCCCGTGGCGCGCCCTCGCGGCGTCGCCCTGGAGACCGACACCAGGCCCGCCCGGGCGCTGGGCGGGAGTGCGGAGAGAGCAGGCGTTTGCGCCCGGGGCGGTGGCTGCTGCTAGAGGGAAGGATGCGGTATGGGCCGTCGGGCGGACGCTCACTATATCACACCGTGGTCCGGGCGAACAGTGCCATGAGAAACATGTCCCCGCTCGCTCTCTCTCTGTCTCTCTCTCTCTCTGTTTCCCTCCCTCTCTCTGGCAGAACCTTTTAGCAGGAGCCGAACCGGCCTTCCACGAACATGATAGCTCCGCAGATGTGCCAGGAAGCGCCATGCCAAAGCGCAGAAGGAAAGCTTCCGGGCGATTGGCGAGGTGGTACAAGCGAAGCGTGATCACAAGAACGTGGGTCAAAAATGCGGGCACCTCCGCCGGAGGCCGAATGCCTCATGGAGGTACCCCCCCAACGACAGGCATTCCAGGGTGGAGAGCCCAAACTCGAAAGACGCAGCTCGGCAGGGGACAAACCTCCCTTTAGCAAACCTCCCCTTCGTGAGAACGGCCTGGGACCGAAACCGACGGCCCTGGACCCGCAAACACGACGGCCGCGACGCCCTCTCGCGAGCCGAAAACGGCGAGTTCCTTGATCGACGTGCCAGGGTAGGAGGTGTATCCACCTCCGAACAAAAGGGTGGACACACGTACACACCACACCACCCCGACGTCGCCCCCGACCCTCCAAAAGTCCAGGGATTGAAAAACCGCCCGCCACCGGAAATGTACTCCAGATTTCGTAAGAAAAGGGAGGGGGTCTGGACCCTCCAAGACAAGCAATTTCAGACCTCCCCCGTGGGAGAACCTTCCAAAACATCGTCCCCAGACCCCCCAGGCCCTCCAAGATAGCCTGGAAGAGACCCCCCCCCGAAATGAGACCCCCCTCCCTCTCTTACGAAATCTGGAGTGTGATTCTGCTCCCGTTTCCGAGGGTGGCTGTCGTGACAGCGCGGCACGCCAGGGCGGGGCCTTGAGGGAGGCGGGCCCTGGACCCCCGGGGGCCCAGGCCTCGCCCCGCGCCGCTCCCGGGCCCCCCTGGTGGGCGACCCCCCGTGGGGAGCCCGCGGGGGGCCCCCTTGTGGAGGGCCGGGAACGCGAGAGAGAGCACCTCCGGGGGGCCCGCTTCTCGGCTGCGCCGCGGACGGAGGCCGAGAGGAGTCCCCCGTCGGTTTCGCCGATCGACGCGCGTTTCGCCGGATGCATTCGCTTGCTTTTTGGGCGTCCATTAGCTGTCCCGCTGGGGTCCACGTGGAACGTGGTGTCATGCGCACGTGGAGTGTCCCTGGCAGTTTTCACTAAAGGGCGTTTTGCTAGTGGGTGTCGGGGGTTTCGCGCGGCGTGGCTCAAGGTTCGTGCGCGCGGAAGGGGGCCGAGAAGAGGGGGTCAGCGCGGCATGGCTCAAGGTTCGTGCACGAGGGAGGGGGCCGAGAGGAGGGGAAGAGGGGGCCCGCGCGGCATGGCTCAAGGTTCGTGCGCGAGGAAGGGGGCCGAGAGGAGGGGGCCCGCGCGGCATGGCTCAAGGTTCGTGCGCGGACGAGGGGCGGGGCAGGGGGGCAGGGGGACGTGCCGAGCGGGGGGGGGGCGTGGGATCTGGGAGATCTCATGCTCTGGTTTGCACGACGGGTCAGGACGTCCGCCCTACTATCCTCCTGCTCTTACGAAGTTCGAGTGGTAACACAAGCGCGAACAGCCGAACATGTGCAACAAACCTTTGTGTAGGGGAGAGGGGGCCGGGAACGGGATGGGGGTGCGCTTGCCCTCCCCCCCTGGACAGACCGTGTAGCGACCTCGAGACCAAACAAAACACATCGCACGGTCCGTCACCGCACGGTTCCAGGACCTCGGAGGCCCCAGCCGAGACGTCCTCGCAGAACGACCCAAGGCCAAAAACCGTGCGGCCACCCCGAATCCGCACTGCCTCACCACATGGTGTTCGGCGGCGAGTGAGCGGGGGGGGGGGGAGTGAGAAGGAGCAGGCCTTCTCAGAAGGCGGCGGGACTTCTCGGAAACCCTGGCGCTCGGAAGCCCTGGCGCCTTCTGAAAAGTTGACTGTGTCTTCGGGGATGGCTTGGACATCTTCTCAGAAGGCCAGGGGACTTCCGAGCCTTCTGAAAAAGGCCTTCTCCTTCCCACTTCCCCCCTCGCTCGCCGCCGAGGCGTGATCACCACTCCGTTTGCCAGGAAACAAACATATATACCGACACTGCTACTCCCTGGACCTCTCCCAGGGCGCCTTCTGAGCAGGATTTTTCGGAGCGAGTCCGACCGTGGCGACGAGGGACGCGTGGCAACATCGGCACTTCTGCCTCCTCTGAATCTCAGGGATCCCTGGCCCCTGCCTGTGGCAACACCCGACGCCGAATCCCCGCGCCAGCCGCGCCGCGACCTGCCCCCCCCCGCGGCGCAGCGGCAGCGGAGGCCCGGTGCCTCCACCGCCCCCGAGGCACAGGTCCACGTGCGCCTCCACGGCGTCGGCTGGCACCTGAAGGGCGCAGACCGGGCACGTGACGAGGTCCACCTGGCGGGAGGCTCGGTGGGAGAAGGAGGGGGAGGAGGAGGAGGAGGAGGAGGAGGAGGAGGAGGAGGAGGAGGAGGAGGCACGCCACCTCCCCCCCAGAGGAAGAGGTTCTCAGCAACAACATCAATGTCGTCAGATGCTCTGCGTGTTGTATCGTCGGCGCGTGCCGTTCGGACCACGAGCCGATCGAAACCACAGAGATCGCGAAACGGATTTGCAACTCTAGCCGAGAGGAGTGAGGCGGATGATGATGATGATGAGGAGGAGGAGGAGGAGGATGAGGAGGAAGAAAGAAAACTGGGCCTTTAGCATACAAGAAAACGGGTCCTGTAGGAAACATGTTCTGGACCGCGGGAACTTCCCCCCCAAAACCAATTCTTCGTCCTGAGCCGCTTCTTGGCATTCCCAAAATCCTCATGACCCGTTTCTCTCAGGCCCTGTTTCCTTCATGGCGGGTGCTGTGCGAAGGCAGGACAAAGCTGGATCGAATCGCGAAATCAGATCGGATCGAGAACGGATCGGATCGCAAACGAATCTTTCCGAATCGGATCAAATCGGATCGTCGCGCTCTGCTCCGGCTGGCCCTGGCCGATGCCTGTGGATCGAACTTGATCGAATCGAATCTGAATCGCGGCCCCAGCCAGCGAATCAAATCGCACCGAATCGGATCGCAGGCGGCCCCAGAAGGTTCGAGAGGCAAGGGGGGGGGGCGCTCGCGGGGCGGCGGGGACTCGCAGCGGGCGGGCGTCCCGCAGCGTCGCGCGGCGCCCGCTTGCGCACTGCAGTGCGATCTCCCTACACTTCCACCAATCGGCCTATGCACCCGTGTTCCCGTAAGCAGCAGCGCGTCTGGGTTCAATCTGAGCTCCCCAACACACGAATCGGTGCGCTGTCCGACCCAAACTGGAGCGGCCTCCCGAGGCCTCCCGAGGCCTCCCGCCGCCTCCCACTGCCGTCCCCATCCACATCCCCCCATCCCCATCCCTCTGCCCCCATCCCTGCACCCCCTTATCGCTCTGTGCCGTATACCCAGCTCCTACGTCCTGGCTCCTATCCTGTATCCATATCCCTATCTCCATTCCGATCCAGATCCCTACTCCTGTATCCCTATCGCTGAATTTCAGGCACCCTATCCCTAAGCCTATCCCTACCTCTATCCATCTCCCGATCCCCTCATCGTGGCCTCCCATCATGTCCCCCCCCCCAATCGTGACCCCTCATCGTGGCCCCCCCATCGTACTCGTGTAAGCTGTTCGGGTCTTCTGCCGCAAGGGTGTCATCATTTGTTTTAACATGTCTTTCTTTACTACTTTACTTTTGTCTCTCTCTCTCTCTCTCTCTTCTCCTCTGTCTCGTTATATCGTTCCTCTCTCGTTCTCGCACGAGCACGCACACGCATAAGCACATGTATACACAAGTGTAGGTGTAAACATATGTAAACACGCCTATATACATATATGTATATATATATACATGAATATAGGTATAGCGAAACACACGCAATTATACACACGCGTCCATACACATATACATATGTACACGGCACTGTGCCGCGAAGTACGATGTGGAATGCTCTCAAGTCCCTTGGATCCTCCGTCCTCAATCCTGGTGACTGGGTGCAACTGCCCCGGACCCCAGATTCCCAGTGGTCTCGGACATTGTCGCGTGAATGTTCCAAAAAGGCCAGGGGGGGCAAAACAGGCCGAGAGGCCTCCAAGATGGCCCAAGAGGCTCCGAATCGCCCCAAGATCGCCCCAAGGCGCCAAATATGGCCACAAGATGGCCCAAAAGGCCCCCAAACGCCCCAAGAGTGCCTCACGAGCAACCCCGAGAGGACCCCAAGAAGTTTCGAACAATCTTACTTAGCGTTCTCGCCTTGTCGCGCCTCCCATGCTTCAAGACGGCCCAAGAAGCCCCAAGACGGTTCTAGGATGGCCCAAGAGGCCTCCAAGACGGCCCCATTAAGGGAGAACTCGAACTGATATTTCCAGCCCTCCGCCCCAAGATGACCCCCGAGACTGTCAGCGGGCCCCCAAGAGGCCTCTAAAGCCTCAGGATGCCCTCAAGCGTCCCAAATTAGGTCCGAAGGGGCCCTCAAGAGACCCCGAGAGGCCCCAATGCAGACCCCAAAACCGCTTCCAAGAGACCACCGAGAAGCCTCCCAAGAGATCCCCAAGGCATCCAAGAGGCCGATGACCTACAACACAGGCACGGTGACGAGCTGGGCCGACGGCCACTAGATCAGCCGCACCCTGTTGCTTTCAAGAAGGGTTGTTGGCGTACCGCCTTTTTAACTGCTTGAACCCTTCAAACAAATTCCCAGTGGCCTATGGCTTCTTCCGCAGGCCAACCAGAAATCAGATCTCCCATCGGTTTCTCCCTCAAACTTACCCAACATGCCTCCAAGGAGGCCAAGAGAAAATGGCCTCCCAACTGTCGAAGATGACATCTAAGAAGGCCAATGTTGCCAAATAGTACTCCAAGACGCTGCGGAGAGCTTGGGTCGTTGACGCTTGGAACTGGGGATGTGGTCAGCGTGTGGCGCCAAAGCGTGGTGGGCCAGAACCGGCGGAGCAACACGCTAAACAAACCTGGGACCCTCTTGGGGGCCTGTTTGGCTGTCTTGCAGGCGCTTGGCGGCGGCCCCTTTGGCCAACACCTGAAATTGACCCCCACCCCCCTATGTTGTTGGGTCCTCGTTTTGACTTCGCTGCGCCGCGTGCGCGCGCCCAACCTTGCCTCGCCCCACCTCGCCTCACCTTGCCCTCTTTCCCCTCCTCCTCCTCCTCCTCCTCCTCCTCCTTCTGCTCCTCTTCCTTTTCTGCTCTCGCCCATTTCGGCACACCCCCAGCGCGATAGGGTGAGACGCCAACGGGGCGGGTGATACCCCAACGGGTAAGACACCTGGGACGGGTCAGACCCCAACGGGCGCTTCCAAACTTAGTGGAATACAACTTGCAATGCTCTGTTTCTCGAGCACACTATACTGGACCCCCCCAGGGAGCTAAAGGGGTACATCACCACGTGTCGTTGGGGTCTCTCCCAGCCAACTCTTTTTTTTTGTTGCATGGTGGTCTTTGAAACTGGAGCGCACGACAATCCGTCCGCGGCCTGCGCCCAGAGCGAGGCAGATTCTCGGAAGCCCCAATGCGGCCCGAGAACCCCGCCCCCACAATCGCCCCTTGGACAGAAGGCAAGGGCCCCTCCCGAGCATCGCTGAAGAGTCTGATCTAGAACACAAGCTGTTTCGGCGGCGGGGCAAATTGACTTATACCGTTCTTCGTCTGCTAGTGCCTGGCGTGTCCCCGCACGCTAGGCTCAAGTCGGGCCTGTCCATCTACAGGGGGTATATTCAAAAATGGTAAAACAATAATCAGGGGACTATTCTTTGACTATTTCGAATATGTTTTGAATATTTTTTCCATACCTAGGCTCTGCCTAGAAGGGTTCTTACTCGGTAGCTTAAAGGGCCGGGCAGTGGGGCACGCCCCGGGCGGTTCCCCCGGCATCCGCCCCGCGGTTCCCCCAGTCCCCTGGGAGCTTTAGCTTTAGCTTAGCTTTAGCTTAACTTTAGCTTAGCGTTAGATTAGCAATAGCTTAGCTTAGCTTTAGCTTCGCTTTAGCTTAGCTTTAGCTTCGCTTTAGCTTAGCTTTAGCTCAGCTTTAGCTTAGCTTTAGCTTAGCTTTGGCTTAGCTTTGGCTTAGCTTTGGCTTAGATTTGGCTTAGCTTTGGCTTAGCTTTGGCTTAGCTTTAGCTTAGCGTTAGCTTAGCTCTAGCTTAGCTTTAGCTTAGCTGTAGCTTGGCTTTAGCTTTAGCTTAGCTTTAGCTTAGCTTTGGCTTAGCTTTACCTTAGCTTTAGCTCAGCTTTAGCTTAACTTTAGCTTAGCGTTAGCTTAGCTTTAGGTTAGCTTTAGCTTAGCTTTAGCTTAGCTGTAGCTTAGCTGTATCTTAGCTCCAGCTTAGCTTCAGCGTAGCTCCAGCTTAGCTTCAGCTTAGCTTCAGCTTAGCTTTAGCTTAGCTTTACTGTTACTACTAATGCTGCTTTCCTAGGGGCTCCAACTCCTAGGTAGGGTCGCACTGTGATAATTGGTATCTTTAATTTTTCGCCCAATATCACCCTGTAGGGGGACAGGCCCGACCTAACGCTAGGCACTCTCGCACGCGCGCGGCATAACATTGGCTGGGGCACACCCGCAGTGGGATGAAACGGGCCCTGTCCGGGGTAATGACCCCCTCCGCGGCTCCGCTGCAGGAGGCCAAACACAATGTCCTGAATCGACGTGGACACGGGCAAGCGCTGCCGGGAATCCCGCCAGGGCGGCTTGCCCGATCAAGCCACGAACTGGGCACTATCGAGACAGATCGTCCGCAGGCGGGATGTGTTATGATCTGCCGCAACTGTCGGCGTAGCCTCGCCGAGCACCGCGCACTCTCGTGCGATGTTCCGAGACATGCACAAGTCATCTCTGAAGGTGAACTCTGAGGTGGAGATGAGAAGGAGGAGACTGAGAAGGAGGAGACTGATGGGGGAGGCTGGCTCGCCTGGCAGCGCGAGGCATCAGGGCGACGGAGGCTGGCTCCAGGAGAACCCGTAGCCCATGGTCACGCAGACTTCAATCGTGCTGAATAGCTCCGTCGGGTTCGTCAGATGTTGTTCCGGCTGCAGCTGGATGTGGCATCTCGCAAGCCCTCTGAGTAGCTGTGCAAAACGCATTACCACTGGGCCATTGCGGATTACAACACCTCCTGAAGCCTCAAGCTGATGCGCCAAATACCAAATGCCAGGGTTCAATTTAAAATGTCGATTGTCACCCATCTTCTTCTCGAAACTTGGCCATCTCTGATCACGGTCGCCTGGAGCGGTCGCAAGGTCGTTGGAATTTGGGAGAACAAACTTCGGATAACCTACAACGGAAACCAGTGCCCAATATTTCGCATCAATGGAGCTTTGGCAACGCATTACGTTCTTTCACAATCTCGCTGAAAACTCCGCTTTGCAGTAGCGCGCTATTCGCTGCGGAAGTATCTACGGACGCGTTTCGCCGATCGTAGGCGGAAGGTAAGGACACATCATGAACATATGGCGCGCGTTGGCGTCTCCAATGCCCAAAGCTAGACTTGTTCCCACCCGCTGTCGTCCAATTTCTAGAAATTATTTCCCGGAGGCACCGGCCGCGCCCGGCGTGCCCCAATCTCCAGCGCCCTCGCTAGAGGCACCCACGCCCAAATCGCCCCACCAGCTCCCAGCGCGCGGCTCCCGCAGAAATCGCACAAACCGCTTCCCGCTCAGCCACCTCTCGCCCACGAGCCCACGCTCTGTTTCTATGTTCAGAGACTCCCGATCAACCGCAGAGCGGCCAGTCACTAACATGGTCATCCATCCCCAGAAAATAAAGTGCCGCAGCCTTTTCAATTGCACCTTTCGTTTGGTCGGTTTCAGCATAGTCAAACTTATCCTCTGCGTTCTCTGCTGTTGGCCGCATGCAGACACTGCAACGCTCCGAACCAAGCTCCTGAATTGCATCCCGCCCGCAATTTTCACGATGAATCAAACGGCCCCCATGTCTCGGCATGCGAGTCAGCGCGAAGAGATCTATCCTGGTCGCTGCTGACTCGCAAAACCCGTGCCATACGACAGCTCTGTCTATCACCTGAATATCATACCTGTTGCGATCATCCCCGGCTGCGAACGTGGGACCTGGATTCACGCAACCTGTTGTTGCTGCGAACACCAGCATCGTAACATAACCCATCGGAAACATGCTGGGCACGATGACACGACTCGCCCGCGCCTTAGCCGAATGCTGCACCAATGATTTCTCAAATAACAACACATCAATGCTATGGAAGTTACAATTGAGGCGAACCCAATCGCAACGTTGCGTGCCAAGGGCAACATGCCAATCTGTCACCCTTACCGCGCCGTCGTTGACTGGCGAGGTTTTGATTTCTGAATCACCGAATCAAACAATGAGAACCAAAAATTCGCGTTTGTTAATTATTCGCGATGCCGCCAATGACCGGCCCCGCCCCCCCGCCACTCATTCCTCTCTCTGGTCACGTCACGATTCGCCCTGGCGCCGTCTGGGAATGATCCATTCTTCAGCATTCCCAGATGGAGACGGCGCGAATCGTGACGTGACAGGCCCTCTCCCTCTCATTATCGCCAAGGGATAAAACAGTTGTCTCCAACGCATGATGTACAACTCGTAGAACACTGACCACCGTATACTAGCCAGTGGCTGCTCGTGAATTTTGTGAAAACTGTCCACGGCTGCGACGCCTCACTAGTTCGCATCACCTGAAAGCCGCAACCGAACGAAACTACCATGAACAGCACAACCCTGAACCAATCACCATCGTGTTTTATTATATCAACTCCAAGCGAAGCTAACATCAGTTGGACGCCGAAAATGGGGACTGAGCAACTGGGCACGATGCCCAACAACAAATGCTCCCCCAAACCGACAGCGGCCACTGATGGGAAAGCGACTTCCTGCCTCACACGGAAAGCATCCATGGCGACACCGACAACGAATCTGGTTCAAAATGGGCAGGAGCTGCTATTATCTCGGAGGCGACGAGAGGCGACGAGAGGGGCGAATAGCCCAGGGGGAGCTATGCATGTCTCCAGGGGCGCCGATGATCCATGTCTTCAACGAGGCTCCTGGAGGGGTACGTGTAATGCTCTCCCCTGGGCTATTCGCCCCTATCGTCGCCTCCGATTATTTAGCGTCGTCCCAATTCTTTCCGTACCCGGTTCGGTCGCACCGATCTGCTCCGCGCCGCGTGTCCTCGACGCGCCCCGAGTGGACGGCGCCGACACCGCGGCACACCCACTGCAAACCCTGTGTCCCGCACCCTGGGCAAACGAAACTTTTTTTTTCCACCGCACCCATTGGATGAAGGCTCGAACTCGAAATAGGCCAAATCTAAAAAAACGCCGGCCGGGTTAAAGTCACCCCAAACGGGCTCTGGTCAGATTCCCCTCCGGAGGCGACAGAGATGCACCACTGGAATTCCTAAAACACTTCGGTCAGGAACCCAACTCCTAGCCAGCACAACCATGGGCAAACGAAACTGGCACCGCGGCACACCCCACGGCGAGCCCACCGTGCCAGAGGCAGCGGTCGCCCTGGTGGCCGCGGCGCCCTCTCCGGGGCGCAGGGCCGCGCGTCGGGACAGACGGCGCCGCGGCGACACATCACGCGCCGTGCCCGGCCACGACCCCCCTCGATCCTTCATTCCTCGATCCTCGATCCTCGATCCTTCGACCCTCGATCTCAGATCCTCGACTTCGGCCCCAGCAGTGGACGCACACCGGTCGCCCCAAGACAAGAGCCCCCCGCTCGCGCGCCCCCCGCCTCGCGAGCCCCCGCTCGGCGCCTCGCGGGAGAGCCCCGCCCGCCTCCGCCCCGGGGGGCGGCCGAGCATGGCGTGAGGCTCCGGGCCCGCCGCGGCCACCGAGGCTGCAGCTGGCGGGCAAGGATCGGATGGGGGGGTGCTGGCACAGGGGGGGAAACACTGAAGGGGCCCCGGGACACACAAACAAATACACACAAATAAGAACATGCCCTATACTTTCCCACATTTTCAAGGGTTTTGTCTTCCCCCCCACTTCCCATATTTTCCCATATTTTCTGGGGAGTCGACGGTTAATTGTGTTTGTGTGTTTCTCCCCTCCTGAATGAAGCACGGACCTAGAATCGGTGATGCATCGCCGATGGATCGGCGATGGGTCCTCGACAGCAGACCCGCGCGCTCCTGGGCGGGGTGGGGCTACCACACCCCTGTCGGCGATCACTGGGCGATTGGGGGTCGATGCGTCCCTCCCACCCCGCCCCCCCTATCCCTGCCCCTGGGCGGCTCAGACCCCTGGGCGCCCCGAAACCACGCAAGGCAAACGCTGGGCCTGAGCACATCACATCGTCGGGGATCCGGATCCCCCCTCTGCCGTTGCCCCTGCAGAGGACGCCCCTACTTTTTGGGGGGGTCGCGGACCCAGCGATCGCGCAGGTCGGTCGAGCAGCCCAAGGCGACTGGACGGCGAATGAAGCACTGCAGGATCATGGTAGCGGGGAGAAACGACAACCACGGGAGGAGGAGGGAGGGCGGTCAACTCGTATTAAAATGGTCCGCCGGGCCCTTTCGCGCCGAAGAGGTGCGGTCGGGAACTGGCGACGGCCCCAGCGACACGCTATGCCCTGCGAGCTGACAGCGTGTCGCTCCGCTCCGCTGGGCGGGAGGCCGCGAACGGTTCGCGAAGTCGACGCTTTGGCTTGGACGTGGATAGCATGACGCGCCGTCGCGCGGTGGGCCAAAACTGGCGGTGCGACACGCTGAGCCAAAGTTCCCGACTGTAACTCAAAACCTCTGGGGTAAAACCCAGAGACGACCTTGACATGCGACGTCACGAAAAATTGCAGCACCGCGAAAACTCACGTCCAGCGGCCTATACCCCCGATCCTCCTGCGGGATTTTCCGAGCCGGATCGATCTGCGAGGGTCCTGGGGCCCGAAAACCAGCGAAGACGCCCGCTATGAAAAGTTGCAGCGCCCAGATCTCAAGGTTTGGGCCACAGCCCAATGACGGCGACGACGACGACGGCAGCGACGATGGCGACGACGACGGCGACGACGACGGCGACGACGACGACGACGACGACGACGACGACGACGACGACGGCGGCGACGACGACGACGACGACGACGACGACGGTGGCGACGGCGACGCCGGCGACGGCGACGGCGACGGTGACGGCGACGGCGACGGCGACGACGACGACGACGACGACGACGGCAGCGACGACGGCGACGGCGGCGACGGCGACGGGGACGGCGACGGCCACAGCGACGGCGACGGCGACCACGGCCGACCACGGCCGACGACGGCGACGGCCGACGGCCGCTCCCGCGCGCCGCCTGCGGGCTCCCGCCTGCGAGCTCCCGCGCGCCCGGGCCGTTGTCCCAGCCGCGCCCGCCGCCGCCCTGCTCTTCTGCGCCTCGCGTGCGCCGCCGCCGCCCTCGTCGTCGCCCTCGTCGTCGTTGCCGTCGCCGCCGCCGTCGCCCTTGCCGCCGTCGCCCTCGCCGCCGTCGCCGTCGCCGTCGTCGTCGCCGTCGCCGTCAACGTCGCCGCCGCCGTCGCCCTCGCCGCCGTCGCCGTCGCCGTCGCCGTCGTCGCCGTCGCCGGCGCCGCCGTCGCCGCCGCCGTCGCCGTCACCGTCGTCGTCGTCGTCGTCGCTGTCGCCGTCGCCGTCGCCGGCACCGTCGCCGTCGCCGTCGCCGTCGCCGGCGTCGCCGTCGCCACCGTCGCCGTCGTCGTCGTCGTCGTCGTCGTCGTCGTCGTCGTCGTCGTCGTTATCGTCGCCGTCGTCGTCGCCCTCGTCGTCGTCGTCGTCGTCGTCGGCCCAGCCGCGCCCGCCGCCGCCCTGCACCTCTTCGCCGCGCCGCCGCTCCCCAGACATCCAACGCATCGAAAGCATCTAGACGGATGTGTTGGGCGTTGTTCAGTGGGGCGGCGTTACGGTGAGGGCATTGGATAAGGAACCGTTGGAGAAGGAATCCAGGGTCTGGAAGCCGGTGGAACTCCAAGCGTGGATTGGCCATGGATCTCATCGCCGCGCTCGCTCGATAAGCCTCCTGGGAACATTCCTCAACCAACGCCCCCACCGCAAAGCGGGGGGGGGGGGGCGCAGCAGCGTGCACCTGTCGTGCACCTCGTGGGCCCCAGGGGGCCCCCTCTGGTAGGGCCCCGGGAGCGCACGAAAGGTGCGCCTCGCGGGCGCCGCCGCCGACCTCGAGCTCCACGGGCCTTCTTGACTCCTTGGTAGCGCCTGCGATCGCCGGCGGGGCGCGCCGGGCGCGAGGCGCGGAGATCTCCGCGACGAAAGGACAAGCAGAGGGCGGCCGCGGAGGAGGAGGGATGAGGCCCGTCCGCCGGGAATCGGGGGCGGGGGCCTCCGCGGGGGCCTCGGGGGACCCGCGGGGGTCAGGACCACCCGTTTCCCCCGCCCTCGGCCGCCCTCCTCCAGGGATCGCCCTGGGCAATGTTTTTCGTTTTCGTTTCGTTTTCGTTTTCCCTCGGTTCGTCTTCATGCCGCCTTTGCTGCAAGACGACGTCGACACGAAAAACGGCCAACGACATCGCCAACGCACCGTTTAGGTCGACCCCTGCTCCCGTCTAGGCTTCTCGTCCTTGTTGTTTCCCCTCCCTCCTCCTCCTCCTGCCCTCCCCCCCTTCTCTCTCCTGGTAGACAAGGATCAAGAGGGAGGAGGTGGGGAGGATGAGGACCAAGAAGGGGGGGGAGGGGGAGGAGGAGGAGGAGGAGGAGGAGGAGGAGGAGAAGGACCAGTATGTGGGGATTAAGCTGGGTTCTAGCTGGCCTGATAATCTCTGCATCGAGCACGAAGTGTGGGCTGATGGAACGAGCCTGCTGCCTACCCACAGGCCTGTCCTGGAGATCGTTTCCGTTCCCACCTGCCTCGCTGCCCTGCCTGGGTGCTCGCTGGGTGCTGCGAACTGCGAAATTGTCGCCACTGTCGTGGGCTGCTGGGAGGTCAAGCGGAGTGGCGTCCTGCTCAGATCAGACCAGACCTCGTCATCGCCGGGGGCTGCGAACTGCGACATTGTCGCCACATTCGTGGGCTCCTGGGTGCGATCTGCGAACCTATCGCCACATTCGTGGGCTCCTGGGAAGTCCAGCAGGTGACGTCCTTTCCAAATCAGATGCAGCCTCGCCGTGGCTGGGGGCTGCGAACTGCGAAACTGTCGCCACATTCGTGGGCTCCTGGGATGTCCAGCGGGGTGATATCCTACTTAGATCAGATCGGACCTCGCCATCTCTGGGGGCTGCGAGCTGCGAAGCTGTTGCCACATTCGTGTGCTCCTGGGACGTCCAGCGGAGCGACGTCCTTGTCAGATCAGGTGAAACATCGCCGTGGCTGGGGGCTGCGAGCTGCGAAGCTGTCGCCACGTTCGTGAGCTCCTGGGACGTCCAGCGGGATGACATCCTGCTCAAATCAGATGGGACCTCGCCATCTCTGGGGGCTGCGAGCTGCGAAACAGTCGCTGCCTTCGTGCGCCCCTGGGAGGTCCAACGGAGCGACGTCTTTGTCAGATCAGATGCAGCCTCGCCGTGGCTGGGGGCTGCGAACTGCTCCTGGGAGGTCCAGCGGGGCGACATCCTACTCAGATCAGATGGGACCTCGCCATCTCTGGGGGCTGCGAGCTGCGACGCTGTCGCCACATTCGTGGCCTCCTGGGAGGTCCAACGGAAAAAAACGTCCTACTCAGATCAGATGAGACCTCGCTGCCGCTGGGGGTTGCGGACTGTGAAATTATCGTCGCTTCCGTGGGGTCATGGGAGGTCCACCAAGACCTCGTCATTGCTGGGGGTTGCGAACTGCGAAACTGTCGCTACGGTCGTGGGCTCCTGTGAGGTCCAGCGGAGCGACGTCCTATTCAGATCAGGTGGGGCCTCGGCGTCTCTGGGGGCTGCGAGCTGCGAAGCTGTCGTCACGTTCGCGGACTCCTGGGAGGTCCAACGGGTCGCCGTCCTATTCAGATCGTATGATACCTCGCCGTGGCTGGGGGCTGCGAACTGCGAAACTGTCGCCATTTTTGTGGCCGCCACTTTCGTGTGCCCCTGTGAGGTCCAGCGGGGCGGCGCCCTGGTCAGATCAGGTGAAACCTTGCCGTCGCTGGGGGCTGCGCGCTGCGAAACTATGGCCGCCCTCGTGGGCCCATTGGAGGTCCAGCGAGGTGACGTCCCAGTCGAATCAGAGTAGGCCTCGTCGTCGCTGGGGGCTGCGAGCTGCGAAGCTGTCGCCACTTTTGTGGTCCCCAAGGGATGAGCTGCGAACCAGTTGCCACTCTCGGCGGCTCCTGGGAGGTCCAGCAGAGCGACGTGCTGCTCAGATCCGATGAGGCTTCGCATGGCGCGGGCCGTGCTGCTTGTCCAGCGCACCAGTGGCAACGAAACGCCACCATTAATTAGCATCCTGCCTCGTTCGTTGTCGTCCTCCTCCTCCTCCTCCTCCTCCTCCTCCTTCCACCGTCTCCTCCTCTGTCCTTCTCGTGCCCTTCGCTCCCACCCCCATTTCCTCTCCGAGCCTGGCGCCACAATCCTCGCTCTTCTACTGCTGTCGTGTGAGTCGTGCAGCTCACGCGCATCCCATGTGGCTTCCACAGCACATGGCGGTTCCTGTCATCGGCCATACTAATCTGGCCCAGCTCTTCGTGCCACTTAATGCGGATGGGTTGGGTCCGCAACATGGTAACTGTTACTTCAAATCCTCCCGCATTAGTTTCTCGTTTTGAATATAGCACTGCGGTCGCAACTCCTTCCTTCCTGCCAACCTCCTCCTCTCTCCCCCCCCTCCGACCTGCCTCTTACCTCCTACCTCGCCGCCCTGCCTGGGGGCTCGCTGGGGGCTGCGAACTGCGAAACTGTTGCAACTTTCGTTGGCTCCTGGGAGATCCAACGGAGTGACGCTCCATTCAGATAAGACCAGACCTCGCCGTCGCTGGGGCTGTGAACTACGAAGCTATCGCCACCTTCGTGGGCTCCTGAGTGAGACCTGCGAGACTTTCGACGCTGTCGTGGGTTCCTAGGAGGCCCAGCGGAGCGACGTCCTATTCGGATCAGATGTAGCCTCGCCGTCTCTGGGGGCTGCGGATTGCAAAACTGTCTCCACATTCGTGGGTCCCTGGGAGGCACGCCTCAACTCGCCAACATCCCCAATGCACCCTTCACTGTCTACTTCCCCACGCCCGGTGTTCCCCACACTTTGTAACACAACCGAGTTATCGTACACTGTGTGTGTCTCTCCCACATTCTGTGAACGATCTGTGCATACACACACACTCTCTTTCTTTCTCTGTCGTTTTTTTTTGTCTCTCTCTCTCTCTCTCTCTCTCTCTTGCTCAAACTTTCACTATTATTGTTTTCTCTGTCTCGTTTTTTTTTTTTTTTTTTTTTTTTTTTTTTTTTTTGTTTTTTTTTTTTTTTTATCTCTCTCTCTCTCTCTCGGTCTGTCCACCGATATCGCTTTCTGCCTTTACCTCACTCTCTCTCTTTCTCTATCTCCCTCTTTCTGTCTATCCATCTTTCTCTCTCTCTCTCTCTCTCTCTCTCCCCCATCCCACACTCTGCAATTTCTACGTCCCTCACGTGCTACATTCTCTGCTCCCTTTGCATTCTCTGTGGTCTCGACGTTTTCGTCATTATCTGAGCCAATTCCTGGGAACACGGCGCGGCAAACTTGGACCTCAGGCACTGGGTTGTCCATCGAACTCGGAGGCACACTTTCACACCAAATCATTGTGATACCCACTGGGGCCATACAAGCACTTGTTGGGGACAAGTGAGTGCGCAACCGCCAAAGTGGTGTTCAGGGAGGGAGCTACCTCTTTGCAGTGGATTTCTCGAGTGGGAATGCTCCACAAGCTATGCTCCGAAGGCTCAACCTTTACAGCAACTCTACGAATAGAGGGCAAGCCAATTTTCAAGCTCGTTTTAACGGGACTTCTGCTTGAGCCACTCTCACAGTGTATTTCCAGGAATATCAGATTCCAAAAGCAATGCGTACGCAGAGCGGCTCGATGTTAACATCGGCTTCCCGCACCTGCACCGTACACAGTCTCTGCCTATATCCTACTGGTGACAGACGCACATATGTATATACAGGTGTATGTGTGTGTATATACATATGTATGTATATATGTTACCATACATTGATAGGAGGCATTCCCCGAGACTCACAGCGTTTGGGCACATCACGCAGTCATATATTTGTTTAATCGTGGTCCAACGACAATTTTCGATGAGGTTATCACCCTTCGACTCGCACACTGTGGCAATGCCATTGGCCTCTTACTCGTCTGAGCCGTTAGAGCATCACCCCACGAGGCCCTGGCCTCTGCAGCTGGCCCCTACCGTAGTTTGGCGGCGCGCCGAGGGGGGGGGGGAAGTGCTTCGTGGCACGACTTTGCGAACGGCGG